AAAAAAAAAAAAAAAAAAAGCAACTTCTTGAGACAGGTTCTGGAGTTAGTACATGTGTAGCCTGAGCTCCTACCCTTGCAACATTATACAATTAGATTGTTGAACATATTGACCCCCAAATACTTTTTTAAATTTATTTTTTAAAAATAAAAATATGCTGATCTTGAACTCCTGAGCTCAAGTGATCCTCCTGCTTCAGGATCCAAAAATACTTTCAAAACAAACCCAGACTCCAAAAGCATTGTCTACAATGTGTTATACTTGGTCATAAGAAGATAAAAACAGACTAGTAAGCATTTCAACTGGGTGTAAAACAGAAAGGTTGTACTTTCAGGATTAATTTGGTATCTAGATTATTCTCTGAATATCCCATTTGAAAGTTCACTGAAATTTTATTTTTAATAAATTTGCTATGCAGTGTTATGTTTTAATTTGTAAATTAAATAGATTGTAACAATTAAAAAAATATTTAGTTTTGAAGTATTTCGGATATACAGAAAAATTTTAAATATTACCAGTTGACGACATCCATGCCAACTTAGCAAGTATTAACATTTTGCTATATTTGCCCCAGATTTGTTTAATGAAAACTTACATACAAAACTAAACCCCTATCTATGCCTGTTTTAGTATTTTCTGTAAGTATATGTAACTATGAACAATATATACCATTGTGCGTTTTTTCAGTTGTGGAAATAGAAACTCTTACTCTGCTGGTAGGAACTTAAGTTGGTAGGGGCTTTGGATAATACTTTGGCAATACCCAAAAGAGTTGGCAGCGGTCTGTGTCAGTTGTTTCCTGCTGCGCAATAATCCACCCCAAAGCTTGGTGGCTTAAAACAGTGATTTCTTATTTCTCCTAATTCTGTGAGTTGCTGGGTGGTCCCTCTGCTTGTTTTGCCTGGGCTCACTGATACAGTTGCATTCAGCTGGGAGAGTCGCTGGGCTGGAGGGCTCAAAATGGCCTCAGTCACATGTCTGGTAGTTCATGCTGGTTGTTGGTTCTCATGAGGCCTTGTCACTTGCAATAGGCTAGACTGACTTCCTTATGTGGTAGTCTGAGAGCAGTGGTCCAAGAAACAGAAGTGGAAGTTGCACGACCTCTTGAGGCCTGAGCCCTGAACTCACAGTGTGGCTTCCATGTGTTTAGTTGGTCAAGCCAAGTCGCAAGGCCAGCTCCACCTTTTGATAGAAGGACAGACAAACTCATACTGCATAGGAGCATGGAAAGACATGTCACTTCTATCTTTGAAGACATCCTGTAATTCAGCTATTTTATCTATCCCAGAGAAGCTCTTTCACAGATATAGACATGTACACATTGTTCATAGCAGAATTGTTTATTATAGCAAAGACATAAAAACAATTTAACAGTCATTCCAGGAAAAAGTGGATAGTAAATTTTAGTTTATTCGTATAAGAGAATACTGTATATCAATTAAAATTAATGATCACTGGATAATTCTAAAAATAGGTTGAATGAAAAAATCAGGTTGGAAAAGAATATGGTAATATAATAGCCTTAAAGTTCAGTATTTGAAGTTTCTTGGGTAGGCTAATGAGGATTTTGCTTTTGCTTCTGTTTTGAAATCAAATCCTATCTTTGGGTGCCCTCATTAGAGCGTGGCGCTCGTGAGTAGCTTCCATCCTTGGATGGCCAGTTAAGCCGTGCTGTTCTCTGGCTAGACTGGCCATCACTAAAAAGCTTGTGTTTAGCTTGTTGGCCATTTCGGAAAGTGTAGCTCTTTCATTTCAGAAAGTGTAGGTAAAGCTGATAAAGGTTTGACTTCATCAGTAATGTTAGAAAAGTCCTCGTACAGTACAGTTTCTTTTTTTAAAAATTTTCTGTATGGTTTCTTAACATATTAATTTAATACCACCATCTACATCTGTACCAGTTTAACCTCCATTTCTTATCTGTAAATGGGAAGCGTAATATTTATCTCATAGAGGTGTTGGGAAGATTAATTTAGATAATAAATGCATTTAGACCAGTACTTTTTATATGATAGATTCTCTATAAACAGTAATTAGAAAATTAACAAGTATATAGGATGGCATCTACGTTAAGTTCACTTTCAATGGTATTATAATGAGTAGGTGGGATTAATTACCTACTCATTATAGGTAATTTAAGTAGATACTTTAATTAAAATGGGCTATGGCAATTATGAAAGTCCATTATGATTTTAACATTTTACATTTTAAAGAAAATTTACATTTACAAACTTTTTTCACATTTGTTATCTGATTTTGTTCTTAGGACAACTTTGTAAGATAGTTACATTCAATTTAGAGACGTTGAATATTAGTTTCGGGAGAGGCTAAATAAGCAGTGTTAGCAGAAGGCTTGTGTTGGTTCTCATGAAGGCACATTAAAGTGGAAAATAATGGTACTGTAATACTTTGATTTTTATCACTTGTGTTTATGTGCTTTACCCACTTAGATTCTGATTAGATTTGTCTCTATACTTCCCCAGCCCCCCTTCTGTGTGCGTGGGAAGGGGAAGGAGGAAGAAAAGAAATTATAGAAGAGGGTTAGATGAATCTTTTTTTTTTTTGAGATGGAGTTTCGCTCTTGCTACCCAGGCTGGAGTGCAATGGCGTGATCTCAGCTCACCGCAACCTCTGCCTCCTGGGTTCAAACAGTTCTCCCGCCTCAGCCTCCTGAGTAGCTGGGATTACAGGCACGCGCCAGCATGCCCAGCTGATTTTTTGTATTTTTAGTAGAGACGGGGTTTCACCATGTTGACCAGGATGGTCTCGATCTCTTGACCTCATGATCCACCTGCCTCGGCCTCCCAAAGTGCTGGGATTACAGGCGTGAGCCACCGCACCCGGCCCAGGTTAGATGAATCTTAATGGGCCTCTTTGAAAGGGGAGACCTGCAACCCGCCACTCAGATCCAAAAATGTCACATGAATGCCACTCTCCCAACTCCCTATATTTTAAAATAGCCAAGCAGATTGTTAAGATTTTTTTGTTGTTGTTTTTGCAAATTTGTAAATGTTCAGTGGCAACTAAGTGTATTCATCAAAGATTTGAGGAGTTTTTTGTAGGTTGACTATAGATTAGAATTAACCACCAAATTGACTAGCCTTGTAGGATTTACTAAGCCAGTGTGACAAATTTATTTGGTGACGGCTGTTTATAAATGCATTGATTCAATTAAATTCTTTCTCCAAGATTAAAATTATGCTTTTAAAAAAAATTTCCTATTTTGGTTGTATGCTTTAAAAGTTTAAGATAGGTTGGGTCCAGTGGATCACTTGAGGCCAGGATTTTAAGGCCAGCCTGGCCAACATGGCAAGAACCTGTCTCTACTAAAAATATAAAAATTAGCTGGACATGGTGGCACACGCCTATAATCCTACCTACTCAGGAGGCTGAGGCACAAGAATTGCTTGAACCTGGGAGGCAGAGGTTGCAGTGAGCAGAGATCATGCCACTGCACTCCAGCCTGGGTGACAGTGAGACATTGTCTCAAAAAAAATTTTTTTTTAAGATAAACCTATAAATTTGTAACTCTTCAACTTTGTTGGTTGAAGGAAACTCTTGGTGGCTGGTATTTTGGGTAATCTCACTTCTTGACTATTTCACATTAAGGATGTTTTATAATGAAAAAAAGTAGGTACTTCACATATAAGGTTTTTATCACTCTTTCCTAGTATCATTAATAAATCATCTTTTCATCATTTATATAGATTTACTTCTAGGTCGGTAAATTTCACTTTGCTTGAGATCATATGCCAGTATTAGATTAGTTTTGAAACAGGTTATTTGTTATAACTTCTCCTGTGACTCTGAAATACTTTAGAAACAAATGATAAATGTTTTTTTGTTTTGTTTCGTTTTGCATTTCAGAATCTCTCTTGATTTTTGAGGAAATACCCAGTAACAAACATGACTGAGTTCTGGCTTATATCTGCTCCTGGGGAGAAAACCTGTCAGCAAACATGGGAGAAACTGCACGCGGCAACTTCAAAGAACAATAATCTTGCTGTCTCTTCCAAGTTCAATATTCCTGACTTAAAGGTGAAGCTGCACTGTGCAAAATTGCATGAGTTCATCATCTAGGGGAGGGCCAGTTCTCTCTTTTAGTGGAAATGAGATACCCAGATTCCTTCGAAAGGAAACCTCCTCTTCAGCCATTGGCATGATTTAAAATGTATCTTCTTCGAAATTTTAGAAGTAAACTACCAAAATGAATAACCTCTCTCTACTTAGGCTTTTTGTGCTTTTCTAAATTGCAATGAAAAATCTTATGAAAGTATTTGATGTATTACATTCACAAATGTGATTTTCAGAAATGAAAACTCTTAGTAATATATTTTCTTAAATATTGTAGTGAAGTTTTTGTTACTAAATTTATATTATGCTGACTTACACTGTAAATGTGTTACCATAGCACATACTTAATAACACTTGGCAAATCTAACTCAGTTATTTAATCTAGTTCATCTATTTAAGATTACTGTATTAAAGATCAGTAATCTAGCAGCCTCAAAGTGAAGCAGGTGTCCAGTAATCAGTTGATGGAACGTTTGTAAAGAATGGAAAAGATCATGATACTGACATTTTGCTGATTAACTGAGTGAGGGCAGTCATAGGCAACATTCATTTAAGAAATATTCAAAATGACTGATTCTTGGCAGGGCGTGGTGGCTCATGCCTGTAAACCCAGCACTTTGGGAGGCTGAGGTGGGTGGATCACCTGAGGTCAGGAGTTTTAGACCAGCCTGCCCAACATGGTGAAACCCTGTCTCTACTAAACATACAAAAATTAGCCGGGCATGGTGGCAGGCGTCTGTAATCTCAGCTACTCAGGAGGCTGAGGCAGGAGAATCGCTAGAACCCGAGAGGCAGAGGTTGCAGTGAGCTGAGATCACACCACTGCACTCCAGACTGGGCAACAGAGCGAGACTCCATCTCGAAAATATAAACAAATACAATAACATGACCAATTCTTAATATTTTTGGAGTTACAGTTACCTTTGAGACAGGACGTTTCCTCCTAAACGTGCTCACTTATGCACAGTTTTGCATGTAGAATTTAATTACAGACCCTCTAGTGCACATCCGTGGACCTCCTACTTAAGAGCCGGTTTTGTAAACTAAGACTTCACATGATCCAGTGTCATTGAACAGTACAAGCACAGACCTGTCTTTGAGGAGTCTTCAAGTCTTAAGTGGTGCTTACACCCGTGAATTAAAGGATTATCTTGTACATATAAATATCTTTGAAATATCTGGCAAATATCATTTAACTATGCTTACACGTTATGAAATAAAATAGGGAGAATTTAAGATTTGTGAGAACTTTCAATCCAGACGTATCATCTTTTTTATTTAAAAAAAGGGTGCTACCTAAATAACAGAATATATTTTCCTTTTAGGTTGGCACACTGGATGTCTTGGTTGGCTTGTCAGATGAACTGGCTAAACTGGATGCATTTGTAGAAGGGTAATGTACTTACATGCATGGAGTAGAGCAAAATGGGAGACACTTATCAGGCTACCTGGACACTGGGTTTATTATCACATGTGTACTCTGCTTATAGGAATGGTTTTAGAAACAATGACTTTTTTCCCTTTGTATATCAATTTTATGAAGGTACGATTTACATAAAATACACCTGTTTGAAATATGAAAATACTGATTCTCTTTTTACTGTCTTTATTAAGATATAGTTTACATGCCATGCATTTCACCTGTTTCAAGTGTACAATTCAGTGATTCTTAGTGTATTCAGAGTTATGTAACCGTTGCCACAGTCAGTTTTAAATATTTCATCATCCTCTATTCCTAGTTCCATTAGCAGTCACTTCCTGTCCCTCCTCGCCCCCCTCCCCCAGCCCCACAAATTGTTCTGCCACTATAGATTTGCCTGGTCTGGACATTTCTTGTAAATGGAATATAATACATGGTCTTTTGTGACTGACATCTTTTGCTTAGCATAATGTTTTATAGTTCATCCAAGCTGTTGCATATATCTATATTTCTTTCTTTTTTTTGGTGACAGAGTTTTGTTCTTGTTGCCCAGGCTGGAGTGCAATGGTGTGATCTCCACTCACTACAACCTCTGCCTCCAGGGTTCAAGTGATTCTCCTGCCTCATCCTCCCGAGTAGCTGGGATTACAGGCATGCGCCACCACACCTGGCTAATTCTGTATTTTTTTTTATTAGAGATGGAGTTTCTCTATGTTGGTCAGGCTGGTCTCAAACTCCCGACCTCAGGTGATCTGCCCACTTTGGCCTCCCAAAGTGCTGGGATTACAGGCATGAGCCACCTCACCCGGCCCCATTTCTTTTAAATACTAAATGGTAATCCACTATATATGTATACACACACATATCACATTAACCCATTCATCAGTTGGTGGGCATTTAGTTTGTTTCCACTTTTTGGCTTATAAGAATAATGCTGCTGTGCTACACATTTGTGTACAAGTTTGTGTTCTTATACGTTTTCATTTTTCTTGGGTATGTACCTAAGAGTGGAATTTCTGGGTCATATGGTAACTCTATGTTTAACTTTCTGAGGAACTGACAGCTTTTTCCCAGAGTGGCTGTACCATTTAATATTCCCACCAGCAGTGTATGAAGATTTTCATTTCTTCACATCCTTGCCAACACTTGTTATTTGTCTTTTTGGCTATAGCCATCCCAGGGGTTATGAAATAGTATCTCATTTAAAAAATTTGCATTTCCCTGTTGGCTGATGTGATGTGATGTGCTGAGTATCTTTTCACATGTTTTTTGGCCATTTGTTTTCCTTCCTTGGAGAAATGTCTATTCAGATCCTTTGCTCATTTTTTTTTTTTTGAGACGGAAAGTTTCACTCTTGTTAACCCAGGCTGGAGTGCAATGGCGCAGTCTCGGCTCACCGCAACCTCCGCCTCCTGGGTTCAGGCAATTCTCCTGCCTCAGCCTCCTGAGTAGCTGGGATTACAGGCACTAGCTGCAACACTCAGCTAATTTTTGTATTTTTTAGTAGAGATGGGGTTTTACCATGTGGACAGGCTGGTCTTGAACTCCTGACATCAGGTGATCCACCTGTCTCAGCCTCCAAAAGTGCTGGGATTATAGGCATGATCTGCTGCGCCTGGCCATGTCTTCGTTTTCTTGATTGTGTCTGTGAAGCATGAAAGTTTTACATTTTGATGAAGTACAATTAATTTTTTTCTTTTGTCACTTGTATTTTTGGCATCATATCTAAGACACCATAATCCAGGGTCATACCGTTTTATGTCTGTGTTTTCCTCTAAGAGTTCTATAGTTTTAGCTTTCACATTGTGGTCTTTGATTCATTTTGAGTTAAGTTTTATGTATGTTGTGAGGTAAGGGCCTAACTTGATTCTTTTGGATGTGAATATCTAGTTGTCCCAGCACCATTTGTTGAAAAGACTTTTTTTCCCCATTGAATTGTCTTGCTACCCTTACCGAAAATCAATTGAATAAAAATGTGAGGGTTTATTTCTGGACTCTCAATTCTGTTTCATTTATCTATGTTTCTCTCCTATGCCAGTACCACATTGTCTTGATTATTGTGGTTTGTATTGGTTATTTTATTATTGTATTATTATTGATGATTGTAGCTTTGTAATCAGTTTTAAAATCAGAAAGTGTGAATTCTCCAACTGTTTTTTTTTCAAGATTGGCTATTCTGGGTTCTTTGCCTTTTTGTGAGAATTTTAGGAACAGTGTCAAATTTCTGCAAGTAAGTCAGCTGGAATTTTGATGAGGATAGTGTTGAATCTGTGTATCAGTTTGGGGAGTAGCATCATCCTAGCATTATTGTCTTTGATCCATGAACATGGGATGCTACTCCATTTATTTGAGGATGGTTATGCTTTTTTCTTCAAAATTCAGTTGGAAATGTTTTTCTAAACTGCAGTTTTTATTACTTTTGAAATTCAGGTACATGTGTATTTGAGCTGAAAATGGTTATAGGATGTTTCATAACTGCATTTTAATTAGTTGGCAGAATCAATCTACAGTTCCTTCAATTCTGGGGATACAAAGCTTTTATCTTAGGATTTTTAGAGGATTTTCTCATTTCTGCTGCTAAAATGCTTTTCTGATTTGATAAAACCACTTCAAGGCAATGGCTGTGGCAATACAGACAGAGGTCAGTGTTGCAGGGAGAGATCTTTTCACATAACAACAGGTAATGAGGAGGTGAACAGACCTAGGATGTATTGCTGGTCTTTAATATTTGAGTCAAGAAGGCCACTTATCAGACAGTTTCACAGTAGATTAGTTAAGAGATGGTAAAAGCTCAATTGGGACCAGACACTTGACCATTAGAATGGAAAAGAGAAGATGAAAGGAAAAGTGACTTTTAGGATTATAATTCCATATATTCATATAGAGCAAATGATTATTATGAATTACTATAAATATAGTGGAAATAATTATGATATACTCAAAGCACTAACTGATGGAAAGAATAGTCTTTTGGTTTCTTGCTTATACATTTTTAATGAAGAAAATAAGGAAACTTTTTTTTGGTTGTCATCCCTAAAGTGAGTCTTCCCTGAGGTCTCATCTACCTCATTACAGTGACAAGTTATGACAATCAAAGAGACACTGAGAAAGGAGGTTCCTGAGAATATAATTATTAACATTTATTTGTACCCTTATCGGTCACCTTGATGTCTTTATAGTTCTTTCTTTAAATTGTTAATGGATGTCCTGCATATAATTTAAAGTTTGCTCAGATTTTAAATTTTATTTATTTTTTATTTTTTGTAGAGACAGGGTCTTGGTATCCCCCAGACTGGAGTGCAGTGGCGTAATCATAGCTCATTGTATCCTTGAACTTCTGGGCTCAAGCAGTCCTTTCACCTCAGTTTCCCAAGTAGCTAAGACTACAGGCTTGCACACCACACCCAGCTAATTTTTATATTTTTATTTTTGTGGAGACAGGGTCTCGCTGTGTTGCTGGTTTCAAACTGCTGGCCTTAAGCAATCCTCCCACCTCAGCGTCCCAAAGTGCTGAGGTTACAGGTGTGAGTCATCGTGCCCAACCAGCTCATATTTAGGGAAGGAATCTGAAAAGTATTTAGGGCAAATGTAGTTAGTTTGGTGAGCAGAATTTAAAGTTATCTGTGCAGTTGTCAGCTATTCTTGTCCACATTGTTCCACAAGTCGTCTTCCTCAGTCCTCCTGAAAGATCTGAGGATTTTAAAAGCCATGTTGTTGTTAGACTTTGGTAGTATTGACAGATGGTAGCTTAATGACTTAAATGCTCCACGTTTTAAAGTCCAAACATTGTAGAATATATGTGGTAAATCATAGTTTATACTTTCTTAAAAATGTAATCATTAGAGCAGATAACGTTTGAGGTGACATTGTGTACCTTGACATAGATCCTCTTGTAAATAGGCAAAGGGAGATCATGAGGCTCTGGGTTATTCAATGTTAAGCTTATAAATTTGACACAGATGATTCTATACTCTGAAGTACTTCTGTGGGGTAAATGCAGCATTTTAGAATGTTCATAGCAAATGGTTCTGTTTATAAGATGCTTGTCAAATTTTATGAGAATGGTTTGTCCCTTTTGAAGGAATGGGTAAATTTTGGAGACATAGGTAAGTGTATGTACAAACCTCAAGTTAAACATGTTGAAGGCTTATGGCTTACATCATTATTTCTGAAATTGTTCTACTTTTTAGGTTTGAGACCACTCAACCTAGAACTGTCATTTACATTTAGCTCTTCTGTCATCTTTCCTGGCCCTTATTGGTTCCTGTATAAACTGTTAACAAGTCAGGCTTTGTGGCCCACACCTGTAATCCCCCCTACTTGAGGGACCAAGGCAAGAGGATCTCTTGAGCCTAGAAGTTCAAAGCTGCAATGCACTATGATTGCACCAGTGCACTCCAGCATGAATGGCAAAGCGAGACTCTTTCCTAAAAAAAAATACACACACACATTTTTTTGAGAAAAAAAAGTTATAGGAGTTTCTTAATTTGTCTTCCAGTTTCCCCTCCTAGCCATTGAGCATATGTAGTCATCAGAATACTTGTCCTGAATCCTGTTTTGACTGTGTTAGGTCCCTGTCCAGAGTGTGGCATCAGAGGCTATGCATCTGCAATCTGGCATCCCACTTTCCTAGCCTAAGCTCCCCTGCTTCTCAGCCTGCTGCTCCCATCAGTCTGGACTCCTCACCATTCTCTGGATGCCTACTGCTTATCCACCTCTTATCTTGACTCACACTATGCCCCATGGCAAGAATATGGTTTCTTCCCATGTAATCATTCTTTTAAACCCATTTCTGTCCTTCATCACCTGCTCATGAGCCCTTGGGCTTTCTTGATTACAGTAGCTGCAAGTGATCTCTTTTCCCTCTTGGCACTGACTTCAGATTGCTTTCTATTTAGTAATTTATATATATATTTTTAATCTTTCCAGAGAGATTTTAAGCAATGTATGAAGGTAGCGATTTTGTCTTGGATGATTTTGAAGCCCACCCAGGACCTAGAGGCAGACGTGGAATGAGGAAAAGAATGCTGAACTCCAAAGTCAAGACAACGTGTTTCTAGTAGTCATGGCTCTGCCATTAACTGGTCTTGTGACTTTGGATAAGTCACTTATTCTTTTATACCTCAGTTTCTTTCTTATAAATGAAGGAATTGACAAGGTTGTATGTAGGTACCTTGGTTTAGGTTGGTGCAAAAGTAATTGCAGTTTTTACCTTTTTTTATTTTTTTGAAAGTAATGGCCAGAACCACAATTACTTTTGCACCAACCTAATAGTTTTGGCATGGCTTCCTCCATAGCATAGCTCCTTTTAGATAGTAGATGCTCAATAAACAGTTAATGAATTTATAATGTAGGACCTAATTTTTTATCATGACTTATTGCTTATGTTCTCTTACCTGTCAGATCCCTTTCTTCCTAAAGAAAAGCGGTGTCTTGATGTCATAGGAGCACTGTGAATGCTAGTTCCCGGCCTCCTCTTTTGTTCTTAGTCCTTGCATTGTCTAGTTTCTTGGCATATAAATATATGGCTATTTACAGACTGTTTCTCACTACCTTCCCATGACTTTCTAGACCAGCAGACACGTTGCATGTAGTCTCCTTAAAACCCTACAGTTACTCAGTTGATTTTTGCATGTAACAAAATGTTGGTCCATTTTATCCTTAAAACATTAAAAGATAAGATCCATGTATTGTATATTATACGGATAGGTATAATGGGAACATATATAGTCAAATTCATGTCTTTGTATAATATGTTCATCATCTAGAATGGAATTTAGATCTTTTTTCTGAAAACGGTTGTTGATTTTTTCCTCTCCAGAGTGGTTAAGAAAGTGGCTCAATACATGGCTGATGTACTAGAAGACAGCAAAGACAAAGTTCAAGAGAATCTGTTGGCTAATGGAGGTAAGCTAATGTTCATGATTTAATTATTATTAACTCATATAAAGCGAATGAAACTAAGCTACAGAAACGAAAAGTAATGTCAAAAGCCTGCAGAGGCCAGGTGCGGTGACTCATGCCTATAATCCCAGCACTTTTGGAGGCTGAGGTGGGCAGATCACGAGGCCAGGAGTTTGAGACCAGCCTGGTCAACATGATGAAACCCCGTCTCTACTAAAAAAAAACACAAAAATTAACCGGGCACAGTGGCGGGTGCTTATAGTTCTAGCTACTCGGGAGGCTGAGGCAAGAGAATTGCTTGAACCCAGGAGGCAGAGGTTGCAGTGAGCCAAGATCGTGCCACTGCACTCCAGCCTGGGTGACAGAACAAGACTCTGTCTCAGAAAAAAAAAAAATTATAGAAGAGGATACTAAATACAATAGAAAGCCATTAAAATACAATTATTATTACTGAATTTGGTGACACTTCCAGGTACATGCTGTCCCCTGAAACATAATCTTGTAGAAGACAGTCTTACAGAATATATAATACAGCTTATCATATGATGTCAAGTCTCCTGCAAGAGCAGTATTGTAAAGATTTGCCTTAGTTCTTTCCAGGATCTATTTGTTCACACATTTACAAGTAAGTTTCCAAGTTGTATATCTCAGCATTGTTCCAGTTGAATACCTGCTGTCTTATATAGGTTTTTGTATTTAATAGTGTATAGCTGTAAAAGCCTCAGAACAGAAATTATTAATTTTATTGCAGAATAGTGCCCCTGTCCACCCATATTTCATTTTGGCATTCTGTACTTAATACCCGGAAAATAGCCTACTGACTTCTCTGTAGCTAGAAGCCAATATTTACATAGCGTTTACTCTATGTAGTAATGACTTTATAAAGATGGTTCTGACCCCATTGTTGTCATTTGTACTTGCACTTCTTGTTTTCTTATGAAATGTCATTTTAGCATTTTGCTTCATTTAAAATTAAGCCCATCTTTAGTGATGTGTCATTATAATAGGAAATAATGAGCTAGGCATGGTGGCTTAACACCTGTAATCCCAACACATTGGGAGGCTGTGGCAGGAGGATCGCTTGAGTGCAGGAGTTCAGGACAAGCCTGGGCAACTTAGGAAGACCCTGTCTCTAAAAAACCCAAACAAACAAAAAGAAAAAGAAAAATTAGCTGGTTGTGTTGGTATATGCCTATAGTCTCAGCTGGTCAGAAGGCTGAGGAGGGAGGATTGCTTGAGCGCAGGAGTTCAAGGCTGCAATGAGCTATGATTGTGCCACTTCACTCCAGCATAGGTGACAGAGCAAGACCCTGTCTCTTTTTTTTTTTAAAAAAAAAGAAGGAAATAACCCTTTCTTTCCCCCTGCCCCTTAATAAACCTCTGGGAGCCTTTCTTTTCATTCTCTATGGGATCATCTGCTCTGATAAGGTCACTGTATTTTAAATCCAGTGTTCCTGAAATCTCATTTTTTCTTGCAAATAAAAGCTGTTCAAGAGATATTTAATCAGTTAAAAATATGGTAACTTATTCCTGTTCTTTATTATCAAGTAATTCTGATCTGATTGTTTACTGTGTCTGTTGATTTGTGTTTTGAGAAAGAACGGATTTATGGTGGCTTTACTGGTCTTCTGTGCATTTCATGAAATGGGGCAGTCAGTCTAGTAGGTGGAATGGTGGTTGACCGAGAGGGGCAGTGCATCTAGAGTTGCTTTTGGAAATACCATCTGTGTTGTTGACTCACTGGTATTATGTAAGGAGGTATTGAGAAGAGAAAGATATTTTTATATGAATTACTTTTGTCAGTTAGCACTGCCATACTTAACATTTCATTTCACTGACCTTGATCCTGCTAGAGGTGAAGTCACTTTGATTACTAAACTTTCAAGGAATAAGTTGTTGAGTCTTTCTTTAGCTTTACATGTTTTATTCTTTCCATTTGAAAATGAAAGGGTCCATGTTTTGAAAATTACTAAAGTGTGGACTCCTGGAAACAATCATCACATGGTTTATTTTCGGTTTGTTTGCGTAAGTTGTCAAAGAAAAAACATACTTTTGTCAAATTCTGCTTATTGAGGAGACAATTTGAAGTAGTTTCTTAATCTTTGTGTCTCTCTCCTTCATATGACACATATTAGGAATATGTACATATTTCATTTTTACAGTAATCAAATTAGAAGGAGCATCTTAATATGTATTAAATTTTGAGTAAGAAGAGATTACAAGGTAAAATTTTGATTAATCCCTGTTGCTTAATATAGTTCACATTTAATCAGGATTCTTCAGAAATGACAAGCTTTGCTTATTTCCTCAATGCCAATTTCAGCATTAAAATATATTGCCGTGTAAAAAACAACAATTCTATTGCTTCTCTTCAGTAATTAATTAATTCCTTTATTTCAGTGGACTTGGTTACTTATATAACAAGGTTCCAGTGGGACATGGCCAAATATCCAATCAAGCAGTCCCTGAAAAATATTTCTGAAATAATTGCCAAGGTAAGATAATACTTGAGACAAGTAGGACACATTGATTTTTAGTGGTTTTGCTTATTTTATAATTTTGCTATGAAATACTCTGTAGGTTGTGATAAGGCAACTTAATTATATGTCACAGATAGAAGGTATCCTTACTACAGCTTTAGACATTAAAATATATTAAAAAGTATAATGCTTCCGTGTGTAGATTATCCAAGTTATATACTTAGTTATATAGTTAAATATTACATCAACAATGTTTAAGAAAGTGTGAAAATTCTGTAATTATTATTTATACAAATTTTAAGGGTACCTGAGATTGTGTAGAATAGGAAATTAGAGTCTGCTAAGATTTCTTAGTCATTCAGGTAGGTAACAGTAGTCACTAAAGTATTTTTATGTGCATATAGTACTTGTTCAGACGTTAAACTCTGTGGATTCTCTGGACCTTGAAGCTGATGTATGACCCCACCAAGTTAAGAGCTCCTTTTATATGGAGAAATCCTTGAACTTGAGAGGAAATGTAAAAGTCTGTTTTTTCTCCCCGAGATCTGTTTGTAGAATAAAAGTCTTAACAGGAACTATAATGAGACAGATAGAGAGGGACCTGTTAATTGTTTGCCAACATTCTTATTGACCTGGCTGGGGCAAGAAGTGTAGTTTACATTATTGGACAGACTTTCCTTGGCTCCCAGTAACTTTAATTGTGCACTATGCTATATAGTTAAATGTAAATAAATAGGCTATCAAAGATTTTAACTAAAGTCATCATATAATTTTATGACTATAGTTTAAGAAACTATTATTTGATAATATAAAGTGGTGTTCTTACCATGACTGAGCCTTATTTTCTGGATCCTTAAGGATTCGATTGTTTGCTTTCTGATGCTGTTGTAGATAGGGAAGCAGGCTTAGAGAGATGAAGTGACATGCCCTTGTGCTACACAGCGAATAATGCTAGAGCTATGTTAAAGTCACTTCCTCAAATGTTTACTTCACATTTTCTCCTAAGTAGTTAGTAGTTTTAGTCTTCTTTTGAAAGAAGAAAAAAAAAGCTTTTGAAACATGAATAAATTCAACTATAGTTTTAATTTTGTAGACAAATACTCTGTGTAATAGTGATGTTTGCAGTAGTCAAAACTCTTTATCTAATTTATTTTGGAAAATATCCTTCAGTCTTATGAATTGTAGCCTTGTAATTAGTAATCTCTAAAACCAGTAGCCTAGATTCCATTTCCATGGTTTAAGAAGTAATAATAATTAAAATACATGTGGACTAAAACATTACTTTTGGTAGAAAATATTCGTATGGAAATTATCATATTAAAAAGAAGTAGGCTGTTTTAAAAATAACCTTCTAAAGTCATGCTTTTAAAATAATAGAATATTCTTACACTTAGAAACTAGAAACTGGTGGGTTTTTTTGTAGAAGTTAAAGTTTAGCTACGTTGATGGTATTAGTAGGGGCATATTTGGGAAAATTTTGTCTCTTTTTCTTTTTCGAAGGGAGTAACTCAGATTGATAATGACCTGAAATCTCGAGCATCTGCATACAATAACCTGAAAGGAAATCTTCAGAATTTGGAAAGAAAGAATGCGTAAGCATATCAAGTATATTTGAGTAGTAAGAACTGGGGAAACACACTGGCGTGCACTGATGGAGATATTGTGGGGATGTAGTTAGTTTCAGTTTATGTTGTTTCTGTAATCAAAGTGGTGTTTCTTTTACTGCATGGAGAAAATTCACTAAGATAAGCTTATAGAATTCAGACTAGTCCAAATAGATGGGAAGCTGATTTACTGTACTTGTTTTACAAATAATACTTGTGAACTGGGTCCTGGCTTATCCCTTTATCCATTGGATATTTCACTGAAAATAGTCTAAAATTAATTGTTTTAAATGAAATCATAACTGCATAGCAATTACCTGTTGCTTAACTATAGAAGAATCCTTTTATGATGTAATAATTATTCTCTCATCTGTTTTCTCAGTTAAGGTTTTTCACTCATCAGGTTTTTAAAAATAGGACTGAATTGTTTTGGTTAATCCCCTTGTACTATGACGACTACAAGTACAACTTTAAGCATGGAAGTATTCAAGCTATGCCTTCATATCCTAGAGGGAAAGTTGGTTGGATATTATCAGAGATGCAAACAGGGCAGGACGTATTTATTATAGGAAAGTGACTACTGGAAGACAAATGAAGACTGATTTGAAAGAGTTAATTATTGGGTTAGCTGCCAGAATTGCCTAGTATCAAATGATACACAAGGAGAGGGACGAACACCAAAGGTGTTCTTAGGTGTTGTGCTTAGATGACATAATTTCATAATTATCTGATGGAATAGACTTTAATTGATATCTAATGAGTAGCTAGCACTTTTCCAGTCAAGATGCTATATATGTACCCAAGAGAAGAGGTGAGTTATAATAGTTAAAGAAAACACCAAACACTAGAGGCGGATTTTGATAAAAGATATTTCTTTGGTTGCAAGGGTAGGGTATATTCAGCTAAATGATGACTTCTTACAAAGTAAAAATGTGAAGACTAATCCCTTTCAATATATGTATAGTATCTTTGTATATTATTAACCTGCCGTTTCTTTACTTGTGTTACCAAAGCACATAATTATCAGCCTAATGATTTTTTTTTTTAATTCCTCAGAGGAAGTTTGCTAACTAGAAGTCTAGCAGAAATTGTGAAGAAGGATGACTTTGTTCTTGATTCAGAGTATCTTGTCACATTACTGGTAGTAGTGCCCAAGTAAGTCTATTACAAAAGGTTTTACTTGTTAAAATACAAGAAAAATGTTAGTATCTAGTATTGTAATTTGAAGTTGTCCATAAAATCCAAGTATGAAAAGAATATAACCTTGCCATTCATTCTGTCAATCAACATTTGCTCATGTGGCACATAAAGTAGAAATTAGATCATAACCTGGCGATGGAGACTTCAATTATAAATAGAGTTTCCGAATCAAATTTAGTAGCTTGGTAGAGTTGGCTCATTCAAACATTAAGTAATGCTAAATTATTGATTGTTTCAAAAATGCAGATTTTAGATTTCTCAAAATAGGAAGGTCTTTGCATTTTTTTCTGAAAAAAATCTTTATGACTGTTTAGGATAAATTAAGCCCTATAAGAAACAAAGAATAGATGAGATCAGATATTAGCAATTTTTTTTCTATAAAGGGTTAGATAGTAAGTATTGTAGGCTTTGCAAATGATGTGTTCTCTGTCACAACTGCTCTACTGTGTCAACTTTGTGGTTATAGCTGAGTAGCCATAGATGATATGTAAATGAATGGATATGGCTGTTTCAATAAAACTTTATTTACAAAACAGGCTTGGCTGTGGGCATAGTTTGCTAATCCCTGGACTAGGTAACCTTTTAAATCTCCTTAGGATTAGGCCTTCTGTGTTATTTGATATTTGATCATAGTTAATCTTGAATGAAGTGAAATGAAATCTTTGGGTACCTGCAGGAAGACCTGGACTCTGTGTGCGTCTGTATAGCACTATTAATGGTTTCACTTTAGACTTACACACTGAAGTCTTGCTATCTGGGAATGTTTGGGGGATCCAAATTCAGGTGGGAGATTTGGGTCTTTTTCAGAGTATCATTGCATGAAGACTTCCTTGCTGTGCTCTGCATTTTTATCTGGTTCAGAGATTAGGAATACTAGAAAATGATGTCTCCATGGAGTTTACAGTGGCTACAATATTATCTGACTTCTGCATTTTTTCCCCTTATTGCAGTATGCTGGCTTTTGAATTTTTCTTTGCACATGGAGAAGACCTTAAATCTAAGGGTTTCACTTTAGAAGTTTTATTTTGTATTTTAGTTACATAACTCTCCTCTGTTACACTGAAACACTGATTGTTAATAACAAAATTCTATGTATCTGTGCTTTTGTAGGAAAATAACATTTGCCCAGATAAAATATTTGACTCATTCAACCTTTATTTAAAACTTGGGTTCAAAACCAGAAATTTTTATAGTTTACTGTACCTTGTAATTGAAACATAGGACCTAGGATACTTTACTTGATGAATTATTTTCTGCCTTGGCCTATAAACACTGTAATTCTTTGTTTTCATTTTCAAACATAGTTCTCTCTCGCCACACCCCGGGAAGCCAGTGGCCTCTAGAGAAGGTTGTTGGCCAATGCTTTGTGGCAACATAGTTTACTGTCATTTCATTTACTTACTACCTTATGGTATTCTGTGCTTTCCGTAAATATAGTTTTATTCAGTCCTTCATAACGGCCACTGAGCAGGAATGATGGTAATTTCAGCATGACCTTTTTAAAAAAATGAGGCACAATACACATGAACTATTTAGTCTGAAAAAATTTAGAATCTATGCACTGCTTTACTTCCTTTCCAAACCTAGTCCTAGGATGTGCCTCTTTTGCAATAGTTGCTGGATGTTGGGTGGTGACATCCAATTTCCTGCATTACTCGGTGTATTTGAAATTCATTCTCAGTAGAAAACCTGAATTTTTTTTTTTATTAAATAGAGTTGAAGTTTACTTACTATAGCCAGATTTCCTATTTATCTCATAATTTTTGTCTCTTCCTGGATATGGCAGGAAGTAGGTCTTGTTTTTCTTTTTCAATGTGTATTGTACCTTTTCTGCAGGTTAAACCACAATGACTGGATTAAGCAGTATGAAACACTAGCGGAAATGGTAGTTCCAAGGTCTAGCAAGTAAGTAGTAGTCTTTGTAAAACCATTTGTTTCCTAGAATTTCTTTTAGAGTTTGGATGTTGGCTTAGGAAATATGTTTGCCGTCTTGCCTTTGGGATAAATTAACCTCATGAGTGAGTTCTGTGAACTCTAGTTGCAATAATTTTAGCCCTAGAAGAGACTTGGCACAGTCTGACAGCCTCCTGTTTAGAGACTTAGAATTTTGAGGCCAGTGAGGTATTAACAGTTTACCCAGCGTCACACATGTCATTCGTGGCAAGGCTAGAACTAGGACCCAGGTCCCTGGTGTGGTACTTTTTCTGCCACACTGTGCTGCCTTTTGAACATTCTTTATTCACTATTGCATACCTACTATGTGTCTATAATTCCTCATTTTACTTGCCAAAGGAAGTGTACCAGAATGGCTTCTGGACTGCCATGTTGAACTCCAAATGTTCACCATCACTTTGAGCTTAGATTTTACCTAATCTGTACGTTCCTTTTATTAAAAAAACAAGCAAAAACCCCCTGTTTTTATTAAGCACTTTTTAAATTTATGGATTTAAAATGCATTATCTAATTTGAAATTTAAAACAAGTCTGTGAAGAAGTATGGCGTATGGGCAGTTATCATTCTTGTTCTAATAGAAGAAGTCAAAATAGTTGCTTAAATAGTTGCCTGAGGCATATGGCTGTGTAAAGCGTTGAGTGGCAGAGTTAGGGGTAGAACTCAAAATCTTTTAGCTCCAGGCCCTGTACCCTTTTAATACTATTCCATGTCATTTTTTCATCTTCTGCCATTGCCACACCAGGTGTTCTTTGAGAAAATATAAATACAATGTATCTCTACCCCAAATGATTCATCTATATCTATATCTATATATTTATGCTTCAAGGGGAAGCAGCACTGTGGAAGATAAAGGAGGCAATAAAGAAGTGGAATTAGTAAGGTCAGGCACATGAATTACTTTCTTCTTCAGAGTCATTATGTCATATGGGAGGTAGCTCAGTATAATGGAAAGAGTTCTGGACCCAGGGATCTGAGTTCTATTGCTGGTTCTGTTACTGGTAGAGTCTGTCACCTGTAGGGTCTGTCGCCTGTAGGGTCTGTCACCTGTAGGGTCTGTCACTGGTAGGGTCTGTCACTGGTAAGGTTGTGACTGCAGGTTGTCTAGGTTTTTGGTGTTTTGAACAAAGAATTGAAGAAAATGCCCAGCAAAGCAAAGAAAGAATGAAGCAACAAAAGAACGAAAGCAGGGATTTACTGAAAATGAAAGAAAGTACACTCCACAGTGTGGTAGCGGACCTGTGCCGTGGCTCAAGGGCCCAGATACAGAATCTTCTTGGGTCCAAATAACTCCTACAAGTTTCCCATTGGCCACTGCATGCTCACCTCATGTAAATGAAGTGGTAGCCGACAGTCAGTCTGAGTGGTTGCAGAAAGCAGCCAACCAGAGGCTGAAGTGAAGTTACAAAGGTCACACCCCTGTGCAAACCAATCAGAGTCTAGGGTGAAGTTACAAAGTTATACTTCTGTGAAGATGAAAACTCATTTGGCAATCAGTCTAATTTGTTGCAGACAGCCAGTTTCCCATCTGCCATGCAGGAAGGGTCAAAGGGAGTAGCCTCTGGTCCTTTTGTTACTTAGGCATGGAAAGTTAGGGTTTTCCTTTCAATTTAGTTCTAGGAAGTCGGGGTGAAACAGCCTTAGGTTCCCTGCCTCCAGACTCTATTCTCCTGCCTCAGTTCTGCTACCAACGTGCTGTGTGACCTGGGGTAAGTCTTTTAACTTCTCTGGGCCTCATTTTCTTTGTCAGTAAATGAGCATAGCACCTTCCTTGTATATATTATGAAGTTATCTTAAGGCTTAATGGAGTATTTAAAATACAAGATAATGTTACTGCATTTTCACAAATGTTGATCTTTTGAGAACTAAACAACAAACTTGTGCTTATCATGAATCTTTTTTTCATTTGAGGGAATACCTTTCGTTCATACCAGCTCTTCACATGGTTAACCGAAGACTACAGTTGTATCTTGATATTAGTTTCTCACTTAGGCTGTTGATACTGACTCTGTAGGGCATTAAAGCCGTAGAGGTTGACTCTGTGTCTAGAAGGCAGGTGGAGGAGGAGAGTGAAGACCCGGTGCATACAGAATGTCCTCCAGAGGTGGACATACGCCAAGCCAGATGTCCAGGGGGATGGTGTGTAGGCTTATTAAGTAAGCTCAGATTTACTCTGATAGGAGGACTTAAATATTCCATGAGAAATTTACATGTTTGGATGGTCACTTTAGTAGTTTAAGGGGAAGATTTCAGGTAGGGAACAGTTTAATGCAGTCAAGACTTGTTTGCAAATGACGTGTAAGTGCACACTAACCTTCTGAGAGCTCCTAGCCTTTCCTTGCTCAGTGAAAACATCTGTTCTACCTGTTTCTCAGTTCAAAGTATATTTGGAATCACTGACTCAAAGACTTACCTGTTAAATTTAGTTAGGGAGAACATGGCACTAGCCCAAATAGCACCATGAAGAGTATGTGCAGTTCATGTAGGGGCAGATAGGCTTTTTTGAGTGAGGCTGAAATTTTGTCTGCTATTTAGGAAAGATCTCAATGACTTGATGCTGAATTTTTGGCTTATCACGATCAACATTTTTGAGTGTTTACTATGATTAGTCATTGTTCTATGTGCTTTACACAAATTAAGTTAATTATAGGTAGTAGTAATACATTACTTTTTGGAATGATAACTTGAGTGATTATTCTTGGGAGCACTGAAGACGAAAGCAGAATTTTGAGGTAGAATAGATTGAAAAATATTCACTGTAATATTCAGTCTAATATTTTTCAATCTATTCTTCTAACTGTCCTCAAACCTGAAAGAATGTAAAAATTCACAAAATATAACTATTTGTAAAATATTCAACATCCGCCTGTGGTCAAATATCCACAATTTCATATGGTTAAATCTACGCTTCCCACTTCCACCAGACCTGTTGCCACTGTTCCAGCTCTGACTCCCTTGTCCCTTGCCTGGACCATGGTAATTGACCTTCGTGCTCTCCTTTTCTCCGGTATTTTCTCCTCTCATCAGTCTTCCACATTGCTGCCATTTTCATCTTTGTAACATACAGATCTGTTACTTCTAAAACCCTGTCTAAAACCCTGCTTGTCCCTCCCCTCAACACACACACACACACACTCTCTCTCTCTCTCTCTCTCTCTCTCTTTCTCTCTCTTTCTCTCTCTTTCTCTCTTTCTCCCCCTCTCCTCCCCACCCCCCTCTGTCCAGGCTGCAGTGCAGAGTGATCTCCACTTACCATAACCTCTGGGTTCAAGTGAGTCTCCTCAGCCTTCCAGGTAGCTGGGATTACAGGCATGTGCCACCACACTCAGCTAATTTTTGTATTTTTAGTAGAGATGGGGTTTCACTATGTTGGCCAAGCTGGTCTTGAAGTCCAGACCTCAAGTGATCCGCCCGCCTCAGCCCCCCAAAGTGCTGGGATTACAGGTGTGAACCACCATGGCCAGCTCCATCTATACTTATTTTTGGCAATTCCTCAAATGTACTATGCTATTCCATTTCTGTATTTATATATATGGGATTCTGTCTGGAACGTTCTTCTCTTTTTTGCCTTTCTTTCAGACTTCCACCTGGTATCACCTCTTTGGTGAAACTCCTTTGAATCCCTTCAGATAAAGTTACCAATTCCCCAGTGTATCACATATATTTTCTATTACAGCATTTACAACTCTGTATTGCAGTTACCTGTTTATGTCTGTTTCCTTTACTAAACCCATACCTTGAGATTGGGAAATGCTGTCTTAGTTTTATACTAATATCTAGCAAGTGCTTGCATTACAGAGTCTCAGCATGTGTTAAATGACTAAAAGTCCGTTACAGTAATGACTTGTGATTTATTTTTTATACAGCTTTAAGAAATACCTTTCCATAGGGGAAAGAGGGAAAACAAGTGGCATTTATTTTTCCTAACAATGTGGCATAGTAGGATTTAGTTATAAGATAAGATGGAAGTTTTATCTTGGCCTTTGTCACCATCAGGATTTTGGGTAAGCCATAGGAATTTGCTGTGTCCCAGATATTTGCACAATAGGTAGGAACCTGCTTAATAGCTAATCTGCTCATCAACACAGGGCCATGTCAAGCATCAAATGCTTTTGGAAGGTTTTTCAAAACAGTCAAGTATTGGATGAGTTTAAAAGATTAATATGATAATGGTATAACATTATTTGTGGCTCTGAAATAGCTTGTCAAGTTAGATTTGGATTTGTTTTGATCTCAGGCAGTTCACACATCACTGAGTAAATCTTGGCAAAAGCAGAAGATCCTTAAAAGGTGTTTTTTTTTTTTAATCAAGCTCTGTCCACTTGGTAGCTGCCCTTCATTTGGTTTGATGGGCACCAGGAGCAAGAACTAAGGGTAATTGTTTTGAGAAGACACAATTTAACAGAGGTTTCAATGTTCTAAATCCAGAGTAGGTGAGTTTTCTCTGCATGTCAGCAATTACAGTGATCAGTACTCCCAGAGGTGTGCGCTGATCATACACTAGGGAGGTGGCCCGGCTGGCTGGCTGAGCAGGAGCGGGGTAGATTCAGTACTTAAAGCCATTCTGTGATTAAACACTGTAGTTGCCTCCTGAATTTACTTGGCTAACCAGGTGGTTCTTAGGCATCAGGAAAAACTACATGTGCTTTTTATAAAATTTTAATATAGTATCTTTAAATTCCACAAGCATTCCTCTATTTTGTAAAACTTATTTTTTCTGATTTCAGAAATACCACATTGTAAATAAAACCTAAATGCTAAAAAACAAAGAAAACAACCAACAACAGGGCACAGGACACTTTTGGTAGCGATGGGCATGTTTATTGTCTAGATTGTGGTGATGTTTTCATGCGTATGTCCACTCTTTGGATTATAGACATTAGATGAGTACAGTTTTTTGTATAACGATTGTATTTCAGTAAAACTGCTTAAAAAACACTAGCTAAACATTAAAAGACCTCCAATATGTGAAAGATAGAAAGGGGAAGAGACTTCTCTCAGTAACATCCCCCTGCCCCGAGGTTATCACTGTGGAACAGCTGCTGTGCAGCCTCGGCTTCTATACAGGAGGCACTATAGGTAAATTCTCAAAGCCTCATTTGGATCATACTATACACAAGCTGTACCATTCATCTTTCAAACAGTGAACTTTCCCCCAAGGTATTACAGATTTATATGACTATTAAAATTTCCTGGCAGTTGTGTCTGGAAAGGTCTTTCCAGTGATGTCCATGGAGCTGTAACTGAATCGAAGTTCTGATCTCACTGGGCTTTTAGAAAAAGCCTAAAATGAAGCCATGAGGTGCACACAAGTACATTTATTCAGAGATTATTTAGACAGTTGTGTTTGTCATTTTTTTTTTTTTTTCGACAGGGTCTTACTCTGTCCCCCAGGCTGGAGTATAGTGGCGCAATCTCAGTTCACTGCAGCCTCAACCTCCCCAGCTCAAGTGATCCTCCCACGTCAGCCTCCCGAGTAGCTAGGACTACAGGCATGTACCTTCACACCCAGGTAGTTTTTGTATTTTTCATACAGACAGGGTCTTGCCACATTGCCCAGTCCAGTCTCAAAGTCCTGAGCTCAAGCAATCACCCGCCTCAGCCTCCTAAAGTGTTGTGATTATAGGCATGAGCCACCACATTCAGCCTGTCAGTTGTCGATTGAGAGGTATCATGGGAGCAAAGGAAAGAGCCAAGGTTTGAGGTACTGGTAATGCAGAGAGGCTAGGCTGGGCCTCAGTGGGGCTGAGTTGGCCTGGAGAAAGGAAGAATTAGGCTTCCAGAAAAGAAGAGCATACTTATCAAGGAGACAGTGGAAACACACCAGCCTGGTGCTGATAGTAATTGAAAAATTTGATTCTTACCATTTGGATGCTCTACTGGAGTTAATGTCTAATTTTGTTGGTAAGTAAGAAATAAATGTAATTAGACTGTTAGGGTAGCATAAGCAAAATATATCATAAACGTTCAGTATCTTCAGTGTTTGAGGCAATCCAGATTGAAAAGCATTGAGGTGATTTGGGAAGGGCCATTATACCCCACTTTTCTCTTCTACCTGTTTCTGAATTTTGCCCTTAATATGAAAGACAGCAATATGTATAAATCTTTAAATGGACTTTTTTTTTTTTTTCGTAGTGTTCTCTCAGAGGACCAAGATAGTTACCTGTGTAATGTCACCTTGTTTAGGAAGGCAGTTGATGACTTCAGACACAAAGCCAGGGAAAACAAGTAAGATTATTATTATTTTTTGTTTATTTACTTTGTTACATCAGCTGTATACAACGTGAACAATTTTGTTTTTTTTCCCCAAATTTAGATTCATTGTTCGTGACTTCCAGTATAATGAAGAGGAGATGAAAGCAGATAAAGAAGAAATGAACAGGCTTTCTACTGATAAGAAAAAACAATTTGTATGTGTTTTTAATATTTACTATTATCCGATTAAGCAGAAGAAAAAGTGATAGTGCTTTCCTTTGATTTAAAAGAAAGTAAAAATCTGCTTTGGTTTTAAGACATTTGATTTTAGTTTTTTTTTAATTGATTAGAATGAATTTCTTCTAAAGCTTACCTATTCTAAAGATAACTATTCTATCTATTTAAGATAGACCTAAGCATCTTCTAGGTCTGTCTTAAATAGATAGAATAATTATCTTAAAACACATACTTAAAAATAAATTACTCCACCTAAATCCATATCAGATATTAATTTTAAATGCAGTATTCTGGTTAATGTCCTTGTATGTGAAGGGCGATTTTAGTTAAGTAATAAAATTCTTTTCAGTAAGAATTTTCACTTTCTTGAGGCAGATTTTTTTTCATGCCTCAATCTCTTATTGAAGCAGTTTGTATTGAAACTATTGGAGAATTGGTGTATTCTAGATGTAATGGGAAATGAGTGGAATTGTGAAAATGAAAGATGGTGTTAACTTGCCATCTTCAAGTGTGGGGTTACTGTGAAGACCAAAAGCTTGTTTGGAAAGGGAAATACAGTGAGTAAAAATGTGTTTCTCTTAATAATATGAGAGGAAATAAAGGGGAGATTTTGAAAATTAGTTCCAAGTACTTTTTAAGTCATATCATATCAACTAGGAGGAAATTAATTCTAACCAAGTAATGTCCAAAATAACCAGCTTTCTAGGGAAAACCTAAAATCCTTTTAAAGAAATAGTTTGACCACAGATTTTCACCTCGTTTTGCTATCCCGTTTGCTTAAATTAATTGGTTGGTACATCCTAATGAGCCTAATAATGTTATCCAAGTAAGTGTTAGCAGAATTGAGAATGTATGTCTTTTAAGTATAGAAAGAGGAGGTATTTGAAATTTGTTTAATCCTACAAAAGATTTGAAGTTTAAAAAGAACTTATACTACATAATTAGAATGTAAAGAGGTTTTAGATATCCAGACTAGCTCCCTTTTTTTTACAGATGGGAAAACTAAGAGCTAGGGCTGTTAAATGGCTTGCCTACATAACCGTTTATCTTTGTTACTAAGAAGTTGTTTGTAAGTTGAATTTCATTTTAAATGTATTAAATGTTTTAGAGAGTTGTATAGTAAATTCAGATCTTTATATTTTGATTTTCAAAGCTAAGGCATTTCTGTATTTTGTACCAGTTTAAACTACTTTGATTAAAATATATGCCTTTTTCTGTGCTAGCAAATTGGTTCAGTGCATTTTATTGTCTGTTGAGATCAACCAGTAGTGGCTAACCTTATAATCTAATTTAAGGTGAAGTATCTGAGATAATGAGAATAACAGACATGTAGAAAGTGAATTATGTGACTTAATTCTTCTATAGATTCCTAATAGGTAGTCACTTTTTAAGAAATATTTGGTCTAATTTCTATTTCTAAGACCAAATTTGTGGTAATTTTTTTCTCTTTTTATAGGGACCACTTGTACGGTGGCTGAAAGTGAATTTTAGTGAAGCGTTTATTGCATGGATTCATGTGAAAGCATTACGGGTTTTTGTTGAGTCTGTTTTAAGGTAAAGAAAGTTAATTGCCAAACTTAGAACTTAAGAGTTTATAGATTCCTTACATTACACAGTCCAGCAATAGGAAATTGGTTTGGAGAAACCAAAGGGCCAATCATGAGACAGAGGTTGTCAGTATCACACAGATTATGAAATGCATATTAGTCTTGTTCTTCAACAGCAGGTTTAGAAAAAGAGATTAATGCTGCCGTATCCTTAGCATTAATCTCTTGTGTAGTTACTTAAGTTAAAAGTAGATTAAATATTAGCCAGTATTTGTTTAAAAGGAAGCTCTTACAGATGTTTTTACATGTCACTGGATACATAGTATACTAATGACTTATTGAAATCATTTTGTATTAACCTAAACTATTTTAATATTTTGAGATACTTAAAAAATCATATTCTGGTCCTGTTTGTGTTGCTCATATTAGAAATAGTTTTTAAAAACCCAAAACTTATATATAACCATGCTCACTATTTTTATGTTTCTTCAAATTTTCAAAGTAGATGTGGGTAAGCTCATGCTATTACCATAAAAGTATTTACTGACCTTACTGTAATTATTTCCTGAGGCTATTGATATATTACCTTAAAAATTGAATGGTAATTGAAGTAATTCCTAGTAATCACTCATTTTCAAGAGAGATTTCTAGCGGACACTGAGGACCAAAGGTTTGCGTTTCTATTTATATTAACATTTTTTGTGTATATTAAAGTTTCTATATATATTAGTTGAACTTGTAAAAGTAAAGTGAGATACTCTCTCCCTGTGAACCATGATTAAAGAGTATGAGAATATTTGCTTTGATAAGAAAATCTCTTTACATGTTTGCGTCTGTGGTATACTGTTATTTCTGCTCCTCTGTAAGGTATGGCTTGCCAGTGAACTTCCAAGCAATGCTCCTTCAGCCCAATAAGAAAACTATGAAGAAACTGAGAGAAGTATTACATGAATTGTATAAACATCTAGACAGCAGTGCAGCAGCTATTATTGATGTAAGTGTTATATTATCAAGTATATATATTAAGTATATATTATTAGATAGCCCAGTAGAGTAAGAATTGAAATGAATTTCAGAAAAAAAATGATTGAAAGAAGATAGACAGAAAAGGGAGAGTAAATATGATACTTAATCATTTTTTATTACTTTGAGGTTCTCAACTTGTTATATAAACATAGTAATTTACATTGTTTACCTGTATTATGCTAATTATAGCTGTGTTTTACCTCTTGGCATTTCTACAAGCTGATAATTATCTTGCTGTGTATCAGTTGTTTATAGCTGCAGAAATACAGAAACCAGTGGATAGTAGTTATTTACTGAAACTATAAATTGCAGAGAGGCAGAAAATAAACAGTTATTTTAATTTTATTTGGTAGAAGTGAGAGCGTCAATAGATGAGTATTTTCAAGGTAGGTATCATTTTTCTAAAATGGTATCGCTGGGTGTGGTGGCACATGCCTGTAGTCCCAGCTACTCAGGAGGCTGAGGCGGGAGGATCGCTTGAGCCCAGGCTTGCAAGACTAACCTGGGTAACATAGCAAGACCCCATCTCAAAAAAGAAAAAAAAAAAACAGACAAATATATATATATATATATATATATATATGTGTGTGTGTGTGTGTGTGTTTATAGCTTCTTTTTAAACAAAAGTGTTACCTTTAAACAAAAGAAGATATAAGCTGAGTCACTTGCATTTTTTTGTTTTTGTTGTTGCTGTTTAAAATTGTAGTGGGCTTTTATTTTATATTTTTGGTTTCAAATATCTTGCTGACTTTTTTTCTCTTTAAAAGTTAAGGGTGGATGGTAGTATCTCACATAGGCATCAAACAGTTTATCTTGATAGAAGGAAACGTAGGAAATGACTTGCTATACTCTCGTGGAATTGTGGATAAATAAGAGGTTTAACTATTTGATACACAAGTGTTCTACCAGTAAGTTCTTGTAACATGCATATATAGTAAGTGTTATATCCTTGCATGTTTTTTTGTTTTGAGATCAGGTCTTGCTCTATTGCTCAAGCTAGAATGCAGTGGCATGATTGTAGCTCACCGCAGCCTCGACCTGTGTGCTCAAGTGATCCTCCCACCTCATCCTCCCAAGTAGTTGGGACTATAGGCATGCACCACCACGCCTAGTTAATGTTTTTATTTTTCGTAGAGACGAGGTCTTACTATTTTGCCCAGACTCATCCTGAGCTTAAGGCCTTGGCCTCCCAAAGTGCTGAGGTGATAGAATAAGTGTTGCTTTTAAATCATACTTGCTTTATTTTTACTCCACATTTTGTAAACTTTGTATTCCATAAACTCAGTATTCTAGGCCCAAGATTTAAACAGTAAGTTTTTACAGTATACATAAAAAGGTTGGTGGGATCATGCTGAATACATACGCAGGCTTTGAAGTCAGAAAGCTTGAACCTGGCTTTACCACTCACTCTCTGTGTTTCCTAGGGCAAGTCAGTCTTTTGGAGATTGTTTCCTCATTTGCAAAATGAGAATAATAATGTCTAACTCAGATAAATTAGCCTTAAGTGCATACATTTAGCCCAGAGTAGGTGTTCAATAAAAAGGTAAATGTTAATACTTGCTTTCTTTTTTTGAGTTGTGTAAATACATAATTGAATAATTGTCTATTTTTCCATAGGCTCCTATGGATATTCCAGGTTTAAACCTGAGTCAGCAAGAATACTACCCCTATGTGTACTACAAGATTGATTGCAACTTGCTGGAATTCAAGTAAAAATGGTCTCCTCCCCAGACAATCCTGTCCTTGTGTTGGTGTGTGCTAACAGAAATAAGTTGCAGTATGGTCGTACTTTTAGCTCTAGAATCCTTTGCTTGCTTCCTACCCCCTTTCCTAGGTGAATTCTCCCACAGAGTGGTCTGTATCTCATTTTCTTTTTAAAGGAAAAAAATATATATATATATTGTTTGTTCTTATTGATCAGGTCTGTAAATGTGTACTAAAAAAAAAAATCAGAGTTTATTTATAAACAGAATAGTTTATTTAAAGGTCTTTTCCTTATTGATATCATGGTATGCATTAATTCCATTTGTTACTATTGTACACAAAAGCCTTGTTTACAAGGGAATGGTGTAAACATTTATACTGTTTTGTTCACTGTGTTTAGTAGACATAACTGTTGAATAGTTATTGAATCGTGATGTAAAGAATATGTGACAATATGCAGGTATGGGCTTTCTGAATGTTTCAAATTTCAATCAATGAGCACTGTCAACACCCACAGGAGAGAATAAAATTACCTGTGCAAAGGTGTGTTGTGGTGTGTGTAACTTAAGATTACAGTTCAGTTTGAGAGTTTAATAAATGATGTCATAGCTAACTTGCTATGCTGCTTCCAGGATTTTGTTATATGCTGAGGTGTAACCATTTGTGTTGTCTGACTTTCATATGATTTAATTGAGCCAAATTTGGGTCAGAACACAAATTTGAGGATTATTTTTCAGTATATGACGGGTATTTACATTTGAACACTAGACTTTTAGTTCTCTCAAATAATTGAGAAGTAGGGCCAGTTTGGGATAAAGTCTAGCAGAACTATGCAGCTTTAGTCATTTGCTTTGTCTAAATCCGCATTTTACATGTTTTCTTCTTAAGATCTATAATTTTGGCATTTATATCATTTATGACATAGTCTGAAAATAGAGACATTGCTGGCCTTTAGTCTCAGAAATGAATGACTTAGTTTAGTGTCCTGAAAGAGCTTTTAAAAGAGGATTTTGTGGCAATGCTCTTCCCTTACTGTGCACTCACAGGTTTACAAATGGGAAAAAGAAGTTTACATTTCAATTTAGGGGCATCTCTAAGCTATGCTATTCCCTTTAGAAAATTAGCCTCCAAAATTTTTTATTTCAACATTTAATATTATTTCATGAATAACTTCAGACAAATACAGATGTCCACAACGTAGAACATGAGAGATCCCCTCCCCCAATTTCCACCTCCCAAGGGAAGTTTATATATTTTTCTAGGTCCTTTTCTATCTTTACATCTTTCTCTCTCTCTCTCCCTCTTTCTTTCTCTCTCTCACATATACACACGCAGAACTTATTTTTAATGAAACAGGATTATACTATACACATCCTGTCACTTGCTTTTTTTTTTTTGCTTAATAGTATCCTTAAGGTAACCTTTTATGTCAGTGAAGCTAGAGCTACCTCATTCTTTTAACCGGCTGCATGGTATTCCATTGAGTGTCTGCCATCAGCCGAGTGATAGTCTGCTTGTTTTAGTTTTTGCTCTTAACAAACACTGCTGCGGTCAGGATCCTTGCACAGATTTCTTTGTATACTTGTGTTAGTATTTCTGTAAGATCCCAGAATTGGAATTTGTAGGATCATAGGTTATGTACATTTAAGTTTTTGACACTCACTGCCAAGTCATCTGTCAGAATTCTAAATTAAAGACATGTTTGGAATGTGGATTTATCTTCAGTTTTTCCTTGGACAAGAGGAAGCTGTGAAAAATTTTGATATCAGAAAATTGTGGTTTTTTGTCTTCTTTTGCACATTCTTTGAGTCTTAGTTTCTGTAACATGGGGCTACTCTCTCTATCATAGGGAGGTATGTTTTGACAATAAATTGACTTTTAAGAAAAGCTTGTCACTAACCTGAAGCTCAGCCACACAGTGACTTTTAAGGTTTTAGACTTTACTGTTGTTCTCATGAGAATAGGTAGAGACTGTGTAAGGTTTAAAATCCCAGCATATGTTTGAAACTACGGGACTTTCACTGTGATTTCCACCAGGGAAATTATAGCAGAGTGGCTGAGCTTGTGTTCCTAGGCCAGGCCCTAACTCTGCTGCTGATGAGCTTTGTGGTCCTGGGCAGAGTGATGTCCGATTTCCAGTCCCTCCTCTCTAAAATGGGCATGATTAGAGTGCCCGCCTCATTAGGGACATTGAGGTGAGTCAGTGCGATTCCATGTGCCAGAAAGTGCTGTGAGTGGTGCCTGGTGAGAGGCTGGTGCAGGTACTTAGCCCTTGGGGAACACATGTAGTTCCTTTTCACTATGTTTAATTTGGGAAATTCCAGGTCCACATCATTGTAGCGTCTGAAGGTTGGAAGGAATTCATTGTGTTTAACATAACATTAGAGCAGTTTGTGTCACCGAGCTCCAGTCTGTGCTGGATTATTGATATTGTTGGTGACGGTCACCATTCCTAGGAAGGGACTGTCCCAGGCCACTTGCCTTCCCCAGGAGTCTGCTGGTTCTCCTCAAGGATAGTGCTCAGATAACAGACTCATTGACATTTACTGAGCGTCTGTCAGGGACCATTCACAGCCACATCGTCCTCTCGGCCCCTCCCTGAGTTGTTATGGTGGGAGGACTGGTGGTCCCCATTTGAATGTATGGAGACTTAAGGTCAAAGAAGTGAATTCTTTGCTGGGTCACAAATTTTGAGCCGGTCAGAATTTGAACCTAAGGTTTCTGACTGCTGGGTGTCATACTTGCCTACCTATACTCACTATTGTGTGAATGAGCCAGACACGTTCCTTGACCTGAGTCCGAGATGGACAATGGCATAGGAAAGTTGCTAGATATGGAGAATCAGATGTTAACTTGTGTTGCTATTGTTTTTTGTTTTGTTTTGTTTTTGTTTTTGAGACAAGGTTTCACTGTCACCCAGGGTGGAGTGCAGTGGCACGATCAGGGCTTACCGCAGCCTCAGCCTCGACTTCCCAGACTCAAGCAATCCTCCACCTCAGCCTCCCCAGGCAGCTGGGCCTACAGGTGTGCGCTACCGTGCCTGGCCAATTATTTTGAATTTTAGCACAGATGAGGTCTCAATATGTTGCCTGGGCTGGTCTCGAACTCCTGAGCTCAAGGGATCCTCCTGCCTCAGCCTCCCAAAGTGCTGGAATTACAAACAAGCGTGAGCCATTGCGCCTGGCCTGTGTTGCTATTATATTTATAGGAACCCAGGAGTCCAGAACGCTTCATCTATGATGGGTTAGATAATGTGTCTAGTTGTTTGCATGCTAATGTCAGTAGCCTCAGCTATTCAACCTAGGAGAGTTTTCTACCTCTCACACTACCCTGCTGAAGTTGTTCTTCAGCAGAAAATCTTTGTGGAACATAGTGCAGCTTTTTGAATGAGTACATATCCAGTAGTACCCTTTAAGTAATGCTTTGTATACAAATACTTAGCAAATGTCAACCTTTATTTGCTCTTACTTCAAAATTAAATAGTCCCAAATGTTGGAAATAAAATAAAAGACATTGGTCTAGATATGAGGTTTTTCTCCTTCATTCTCAGCTGTCCTTTAAGAAGAAATCAAAGTAGCATATACACAAGTTTAAAAACCACATACAAATACTGTAGAACAGCTTATAACGAAAACCTTGCCTGCCTTTATAAAAAATGTGATTATCTTCTGTTAACGTCAATAAAAGATGGTTTGTCCTAGAAGGTCAATAAATGGTATTATGTTCTAGAGGAAACCTAGTAAAAGCTTTCCTAATTTAGTACATGTCTCTAAATTGATGTTCACCCATTTCGATATTGTAGACTTATTCATGGTCTTTATTTTTCTAGCATAGATAACAATTGATGCTTTAGATTGATATATGCAGGTAATTCTTGCTTTCTAAAAAAAGGAATATGTGGCACATTGGAACCACTTTATTCACCAGCGGATTTGCCCTTAGAGTATTTTTTGATCTGAGCTGATGGCTTGTGAGAGAAAAAGGCAGCAGAGTAAAGCCGTGGAGGCCATGAACAGTGAGAGACTGCCTCCTGGCCTTGTTGCTGGTGCAGAAGATGACACTGAGGAGAAACAAGACAACATCCTTCACACCAGGAATGGCCAAGATAATGCAAGAAGAAGAAAGCTTTAAAACAATCCAGAAGGCAGTCAGCAAACACAAAGGGGGACATTCCTTCCCTGGCAGTTGCTCAAAACTGAAATTGGTTATTTATTATGTACACCGGGGCTTGTACTTGGGGAATTTAATAAAAATGCTCATTACCAAACCCCATAGAGATGTGGTTTAAAGTCTTAAATAGATCTGAGGAATCGCTTGCATTTTAAACAAATACCCAGGAGAATCAGAGGCTAGGGGTTAGTCAATTATAATCTGATGCTACCTTTTAAAGATTCTTCTTCTGAACCCTCAGATTGGGGTGTTGATTTAGAATTTGTAAGCATCTTGAGGTCTCATTCAAATAGTGATTCTTCTCTGTTTACAGAGACCACACTTACTAGAATCATCATGAGTAAATCAGCTTTTGCTACTGTCACTTGAGGAAATACTCCACATCGTTAAATCAGTAGAACTGGAGAGTCCTGTCTCAGCAGAAACTGATCAATAAAGATGTCTTTTGCCCTTGAAAGGCCATAGAACATCAACCTGAAATTCGCAAAAGCTCTAAAATGATGAAGGTCACATTTTCATCTTTTAATTGAGAACTCATTCTGGACATGATTTATCACTGCTTGTAAAGTATAAAAAGGAACAACCAAAACAGACTGAAAGAATGGTTTCTGTGAGGAAGCTCCCCTCCTCGCCAGGAAAGGGCTGTTAAGATGGAAGTGAAAAAAGGAGTTGGAGGCAGCAAAGGTTATTGTTGGTGTTGGACAAAGGAAGGAATAAACTGTATGATGCCACCTGGAACTTGAAAGTCGTTTGTTTTTCAAACAGAAGATGAAGTATTTAGAATATCAAATCCCAAGGGCAGTTTTATGTATTTTGTTATTTCCTAGGTATGTGGATAACCTCACCACATAGTCCTGTGACAAATTTGTCCTATTTTGTATAAACTATTTAGATATATATTTGGGCTGTTTCTTAGAGTACTTTATAGGTCAGTACAGGTTTTATACGTTGTTAGAAGCATGAAGACACTTGTTTTTTAAATAGAAATTGTGACTACCCAGGTACCATATTTTGCCACAAGGGGGCACTCGTGCCATTGAAAAGCAAACAGTTTCTCTGCCCGGCATTTTTGTTCTGACGTGTACAGTCAATTTAGAGAAGTCTACACTCCACTGCATTCTGGTTTGGTATATTTTGTTACAAGCGTTTATTAATATAAAGTTCTCAAAAAATGTTAGATGACTCATTTATTTTGTAACAATCTAGCTTCTGTATGTGTGCATAAAACTCACACATCTTTCTGCAGACTGGTGCCAGCCAGTGATAGTTTTCACTGAAGATCAAATGAGAAAGGTAAGGATATATGTATGTGTGTGCATGTGTGTGTGCATATATAATCACTTATTCTGCAGATAGTTACTGAGTATGTGCTGTGAACCAGGCATTGTGTTATTCACTGGGGATTGAATGCAAGCAGTCAGATGGGAACAGTGTCTGCCTGCCTTGATGGGGCATGCAGCCTGGTGTTCTGGTGGCAGTCTTACTGGACAAAACACAAACCCAGCAGCCCCAAGTTAGGAAGAGGATTTTACTGATCTGTGAAATCCATAGTCTGAAAACATACTGATTTAACGGTATCTGTCCAGAAAAGTCAATCTATGGTATCAATCAGTGAGTTAAAGAATAGACTCATCTTTTTTTCACGTTTGACCACTTAGTTGGTCTGGCTTAGCACTGTCCAAAAGAATTTCCTGTGATGATGGACATTCTAAACTTGTGCTGCCCAATGCGGTTAGCCCCTAGTCACATGTGACTGAAGATCACTTGAACTGTGGCTCGTATGACTGAAGAACTGAATTTTTTTATATCTTATTTTTATTTTTTGAGGCAGGGTCTGGCATTGTTGCCCAGGCTGCCTTCTGGGCTCGAGCCATTTTCCCTCCTCCACTTCCCCAGTAGGTGGGACCCCAGGCACACGTCACCACATCCGGCTTTTTTTTTTTTGGTAGAGACTCCTCACCATGTTGCCCAGGCTGGTCTCGAGTTCCTAAGCTCAAGTGATTGGCACTCCTCAGCCTCCCAAAGTGCTAGGATTACAGGCAAAACCCACCACACCTGACCAATCTTACTTAAATAGCTACATGTGGCTGGTGGTTACTGCACTGGACATACATGTCTAGTTGGTCACACCTGGCCAATGAGCCTTTTTGACCTTGAGTTTCTAATATGCCCCATATCCTTTGGCTTTTTTGTTTGTTTCTATGATGGGAAGAGCCAGCCTTGCTTCTGTTTGTTTTGCCAGATTTTAACATCCCCACAAGCTTGAGAAAGAGGAAAGGACTGCTCTTGGAATCGTTGTGCCTCAGATTGCTATGCAGGACAGCATTCTCTTTGATCACAAAAGAACTACATATACTTTGTGCATTGATGTGCATGAGAGTAAACTGGTTGTCGTACTGAAAGACCAAAAGCTGTTTCTGATGGGAAATATTGAATCAGCAGAATTGAAAACACAGCTGTGTGGTTCTAATGGGAATATAATTTCTTCTGTCAATCAGTGCTCACTTAGCATCCATTGTGTGCAGGGCATTCACTATTCCAGCCTCTGCAGGGAGACATCAGGGAGATGCTCACCATGTGCTTTTGAATGACATGATTTGTGTCTATTGACTGAGAAGTTTAAGAGGTTCATGAAACGTTGAAGCCATTGAGGCTTTGTTTGAGAAGTCTAGCAACTCACAGTCGCCCCTGGAAAGAGGCAAAGGGGAAAGGGAGAGCCCTCTGTCAGAGGCTTGTTTTCTGTCAATGACATGTGACATGGATTTTTACCTCCTTCTGTCAGTTGGCCACCCTCTGCCTTCAGTCTTGTGAAACTTCCTAGAATTCCCCCTCCCCATCCTGGACTCCTGGTTCTTCCTTTGCCTTGCCCACTGGCCATATTTCTTTCCTAGTCTATTCTGACAACCTCCTAACTGGCCACTTGTTCCCAGTCTCTGGTCACCTTCATCTTACCCTAGCTGTGGGGCCAGTGGACTGGCAAGTCACTGCTCACAAATCCTGGAGAGCTGCTCCCTTGCCCTCAGGATAAAGTCTGTGTTCAAACTGGATTTTTTCCCCATTAGAATTGCTTCTCTATGTGTTCTCTGAAAGGAGAATAGCATTTACTGTTTGTTGCTTTGATGGGGGCCTCTTTGGAGGAGGAATTTAGATCATAGATGGTCCTTAGGGATGCTCCAGTAGTCTCCTTTTCTACCTCCTCCAAGCGGGCCACCTGGGCCAGCTTCACATCTGTGCTCTCTCAGGCTGTAATCGTGGTCAGCCTAGCATCCCAGGGTCTGAATTATTCCTTCTGTAGAAGAAGGAAAATTAGGATAACACTATAGGACTATTGTGAGAATGAGGATTAAATTGCAGATCCAAATTTTCTAGCAAGGTACATGGCGCAGAGGAGGGACTCAACATATTAGCTGCTCTTCTTCTTGTTAGTATTATCCTTTTCCATGCTATGTGATTTGTGTTTCTTTTTTGCCTATTGCCTCATATCTTATGTGAGTTGAAATTAGTTCCCCTTTAACTGCATCTGTTTAGAAGGCAGATTTCCCATTAAAAACCTACCGGCATCACATGACCAGCAAGTTCACTCCTACATGTAAACCCAAGACAACCGAAACCATATGTTCACACAAAAACCTGTACGTGAAAGTTCATAACAGCATTATTCATAATAGCCAAAATTGGAAACAACCCAAGTGCCCATCAACTGAGGCATGAGTGTATAAACAAAATCTGGTTTATTAGCACAATGGAATATTATTCTGCCATAAAAAGAAATGAAGTGCTGACCCATGCCACAAACATGGATGAACCTAGAAAACATTGTGCCAAGTGCAAGAAGCCAGACACAAAAGGTCACATGTGATTTCACTTATAGGAAATGTCAGGCGTAGGCAAATAAATTGGTATAGAAAGAAGATTCGTGGTTGCCAGGAGCCAGGATGGGAAGGGACTTGGTAGTGACTGCTAATGGATACAGGGTTTCTTTAGGGATGATCATGTTCTGGAGTTAAGATAGTGCTGACAATCACACGACTTTATGAATACACTAAAAAAAAAAAAAAAAAAACTGAATTGTGTACTTTAGAAGGTGAATTTTATGGTGTATGATTTCTCAATTTAAAAAACCTACTAGGAATTAGCTCAAATTTTCTACAAATTCTCTTAATGCTTTGCTTATATGTTTATATCGATATCGTTTTTAAAAGTTAATTTGAATTCCCTTTTACGAATGGTAAGGAGTTTGTCCTCTGGGGTTTCACTCTGTCCAGTGCTGTTGCTGTCGATTCTGTCCGATTGCCTTTTTTGTTGTTTCCGTTTGTCCACTCAGCCCCTCAGGTGGCCTTGGCTGCAGCCATCTGCAGTCACCTCCTCCACGTGGGGCTAGGTTGCAAATCTGTCCCAGAGTAGCTCATCTCACTGGTTATCACATTAGCAGTCACTCATGTCAGCAGTTCCCGAAGAAAAGATGGCTGGCTGGCTGGCTGAAACTTTGCTGGTCTGATGATATCTTTCTGCTGTTTTAGTACATGTGTCACTGACAACTGGCTTAGGTAAAAGGGCCCATAGTTCCTTTATCCATTCAACAACCATCTACTGAGGGTAGAATCCTCATTCACTTAGTGAATACTTAGTAATTTTTGAATACCTGGAAGCTGGGGCAGGAGCAACCAAATGAGAAAAGGGACCCTGTCTGCCTGGAGCTTACGTGCTGGCGGACAATATGCAATAAACATAGTGAACAAGGTAAGGCTTTTCGCCCGCTGCACCTGTGAGGCCGTTGAGAGCTGATCTGGGCTGGGAACGGGTAGGAAGAGCTGCTTCAGAGGCGTGTCTAGTTGTACGCCAGAAGATGCCAGCCACGTGAAGACCTAGGGGAAGGAACTGGCTCAGAGAGGTTGGGTAACAGAGGGTCAGCATGGCAACAGCTGAGTGAGTGAGGGCGTGGATGTGCAGCAAATGCGCATAGGGCCGGGTCTTCCAGAACGTGCTGAGGAACTCAGACGTTTTTCTTACAACAAAGAGAAGCCAATTTATTGTTATTTGCCTGTTTCAAGGATCACCCCGGCAGTGGTCATACTTGTGTGTTTGTAACCCCAATTTC